GTTTGATACATTTATCTAGATTAATTAAGAATTAAGTGACCGCAGTTGTATGTACACTTATTGTAGTCTGAGCAGGGGGCATCCTTTAAGAATCATTTTTTTCATATTAAACAAACATTATTTCCATATTGGTTGATAACATATGTTTTATTTAGGATTAGTCAGTCTATCAAAACATATATTTACTTAAATGTAAATGAAATGGAATTTAATTTTGAATTTTATTTTCAGAACAAAATTTGAAAAGGACATTTTTAACTTTAATTGAAAAAAAATCATATACCTGCTAGACTAGAATTCATCTTTTTTAAATTAAAAATTAGAATATTACTTAGAAAATGTTCCTATACAACTTAAAATGTATAATTTTTATGTTTTACAGAAAAAAAAATCTCATCTAGTGGTTGTTATAATACATGCGAAAAGAAAGAAACTACTTTAAAATGGTGCTTTCCTAAAACCATAATTTTTGTTAAAGTTGAAATAAATTTAGAATGTTTTTCTTCGTTATATGTTTGTTGAATTTTTTATGAAAGAATTATGGAGAAAAAAGATTGATTTCTATTTTTTATTAAATTTTTAAAATTAAAAACATTGTTTTCTTATGGTATTTCTCTTATAATTTATTTCTCTTTAAAATTGTTTTAAAACCATAAAATGAACATTATGTCTAAATCTAGAAACCTATTTCATCATGCTAAATTTTATTTTATAAAGATATTCTAACAAATGGGAAAGTTATTCAACTTTTCAAAATTAACATTGCTGGGCTAACTCGTCTTTATTGCTTTCTACTGATAAGATATTTGTGAACATGGGTTGTGTCATAAAATATGGTGTAACTTTTTTAATACGTCTTTAAATGGCAAATAAGTTGGTAAAGTTCTTCGATACACATTTTCCATTGTTCGTATGAATTTTTGTAGGACTAGATGAAAAAAAGTTGGTCTAATAGGCTTCAGACCACAATTAATTCCCTTTGCTCGTGGTCTAGGAATGTATAGTTCCTATAGTAAAAATAGGTAATTTCTTCCATAATTTTTTACTGTGCTTTTTATTTGCAAAAGTGAGTGTTTCTTGGTTAATTTTGGTAGAATAGTGTTTGAATGAATTGCTATGATACCCAAAACTTGAATATTTGAAATTGAAAGTTGTAAATTGTCTTCAGTTCAAAGGTCAAATTTTTGGTGTTTACTTTCTTTTCGTTGGTTAGGTGAACCCCATGGATGTGTATTGAGGTGTTACGGACGAAAGCACTGATGGATTTTTCTGGCATTGTAATATTTTCCTGAGAAAAGGATGATCTTCATGTGGAGCAAATGTCATTTTGTTTGAAGCGGTGTAATTTTTTTTATATGTCATTATTTTTACAAAGAATGTATAGGCAAATTAATTGTGGTCTGAGGCCAGCGGTATAACATGTTACTTTTATTATTCTTCCCTTAGTTTATTTATTTTGCATTTACATTGTATCATAGGTCAAATTTATTTGTTCAGTGTATGTTCACTGGTGTTAATATGTCCTTTGATTGAGTTAAGCCATTTCAGTTGATATTTTATAGTGTGTCTTTCTATGTTGTGATGTAACGTTATTGTTTTAGAAAGAAGGTGAAGGTTTGGTACCATTAAAACGTTTAAACCCGCTGCAATTGTTTGCACCTGTCCTAAGTCAGGAATCTGATGTTCAGTAGTTGTCGTTTGTTGATGTGGTTCATACGTGTTTCTCGTTTCTCATTTTTTATATAGATTAGACCGTTGGTTTTCCCGTTTGAATGGTTTCATTCTAGTAATTTTTAGGGCCCTTTATATCTTGCTGTTCGGTGTGAGCCAAGGCTCCGTGTTGAAGACCGTACTTTGACCTATAAATACTCTTATAAATTTTGACTTGGATGGAGAGTTGTCTCATTGGCACTCATACCACATCTTCTTATATCTATTGAGCATTTATCAATTACAATGTACAATCATGTTTGAAAAAGTAAACCCTCGTCAAGTCAGTTCATTCCGTTTGTCATTAGACAAGTTTTGTGGGTCTGCGACCGATTTTCTTTTTAATTAAGAACGTTGTTGTTTGAACTTTTTGGTTTATATTTGGCAAATCTGGTTGCAATACATTCGATGTGATGCATTTTAGCTTATTTCCATTGTTTCTATTTAATCATATCTTTTCTGATTTGGAAGTTAATTCATACACTTCTTAAGTCCCACTCTAAAGGTTGTCTTTCAAAATCAAGTATCGTATCCGCAACTGTTAAATGCCATTAGAAACAGGTGTTAACATTTTAAAAAGGCAAACGGTATTTTTGAAGTCACCCTTTCCGTGATCAAAGAGAGGCGAAAAATACCAAAGGTACATTCAAACTCATAAGTCGAAAATAAACTGACAACGCCATGGCTAAAAAAGAAAAAGACCAACAGACAAACAATTATACACAAAACACAACATAGAAAACTAAAGACTGAGCAACACGAAATACCAAAGGTACATTCAAACTCATAAGTCGACAATAAACTGACAACGCCATGGCTAAAAAAGAAAAAGACCAACAGACAAACAATTATACACAAAACACAACATAGAAAACTAAAGACTTAGCAACACGAACCCCACAAAAAAATGTGGGTGTTCTCAGGTGCTCCGGAAGGGTAAGCAGATCCTGCTCCACATGTGGCACCCGTCATGTTGCTCGTGTTAGTACTAATCTCGGAAGGTCACATTCGGGAAAGGGGGCGGGATTGTCATTAGAACTTAAGGAACATATCCGCTATCATCTGTGAAACGGATGATCAACATGCATAACCGGTATCTAAACATAACAGGTTACACTTTGTAAATACAACTGTTTCACAAGCCACGCCTCATTTAGGGAGATATATAATATTCATAGATATTTTGTTTTGTTTACGTACTGGTTCCCAGATATGATCTCTATGTTTCATCTGATAGAAACATAAATTGGGAATGTTACCAGTATAAATACACATGGATAGCGGCAAAATTGAATTCTGAGGAAGATCCAAAGTGAAGGGAGGGGTAGTACAGAATTTTCGTATAAGTTTAAACTCTTAGAAATACGGGGCATATAAATGTTGAAAATATGCCGCACAGCCCTATATTTTGACTTTTGAAAAAAATTGTAGTGCATATGAACTTTCCATTCTAGGATATATTTTTTTACGAAACTTCATAGTAAAAGTGGCTAAGTTTTAGCCGTAAAAGGAGTTCCTATGGGAAATTGCATTGTCTATATTTACAGAAGTGCAACCTTCAGCCAATGTTTACCTTCTCAAAATTTTGTTCGATCTGACAAGCATGCATTCTGCTTATTTTTCTGTACATTAAGTTGCGTTAGGTCTCTCCGTTTGAATTCATTGTTTATTGGTATACGGAAAACATAAAACTGATGTTCCATAACTTTTCATCTCCATGTGTTTTACCAAAAAGTACATGCACTGTACATTTACATATTCAGAACAAGAATGTATATTTGACACCGGCTTTTAGCCAACAACACATGTACAGTTTTCACTATTAATAGGAATATTGGTAGTATAAATTTCATTTTAATTAGACATTTGTTTACAGGAAAAACTGTTCACCTCAAGTTTGACAAATGGATACGGAATTAAAACAGTAAAAGGATACGAAGTACAGATGATTCATTTGTCAATATTTGATTTATCTTTATTAACAAATGATCTTTGTATTATTAGCACATACTTACAACTTCTCGTCCAATCATATTGCTTATATTTGCCTTCTAATTTTTATAGTACTAAGTACATACCTTTTCCATGTACTAAGTAACTACGCATGAATGACCACAAGGGTAAGATTTCATTGTATCGTAATCAAGATATTAAAAAAAAAAATGCTACTGGCTATTTTGAAATAAATGCTGTGTTCCAAATTAAACTAAATAGTTTGTAAGTAGTTTTCAAATTGATTTTTAACATCCTACTATTTAATCTGAGGATCTAAAAATATTTTTGACGATTAAAAGTTTCTTTCATTTAAATAAAGAGTAACAAATATGATTTTTCAACCTTGATTAGAGTACAACGCCATCTGAAAATTGTAATCATTTATCTTCCATGCAATTACTTTGTACACAAAAAAGAGTGAACCATGAAACCTTGTGAAGGGAAAATAAAGCAATTTGATCTATTTCGTCATGAATTGATTGATTATTGGTTGCTTAATGTCGAGTGACAAATATTTCATGCATGAAAACTATCCACTAGACTACCTATGGGTACATACCAGGGCAGATCCAGTCATTTTTAAAAGGGGTTCCAACCCGAAATAAAGGTGGGGGGGTCCAACTGTATGTCCTCATTCAAAAGCATTGATCATCACAAAAAGGGCGTTTTCCATCCCCCTCCTGAACTCCCCCTCCCCCTTTTTGGATCCGCCACTGCAAACTATCTATATGTGTAAAATTTATTATAGTTTTAGTTTTTATGTGAAATTGAAAAAAATGTTTTCAAGAATGTAAAGCTTCCACTGCAATTTAATTATTGCCTGCTTTTAGTCAATTTATTTTGTCATCTTACCATGTGAAGAAGTACATGTATAAAAAAAAAACACCGCTTTATGTCAATAAACATACTTACACCAGCAGCTACCATCTTTTCATTCTGGATTCAATATTTTACAATGATACTAGTGAGTAGATTTACAAAACTACGTAAATGAGCTACACTTAGTCAGCCAAAAAACATATCAATAGACTAATTACAGGATTACTCAAGTTGTAAATATGTGCTAAATTGGATAGTGTATGGAAAGGTATATACTAGTACTATGAAATTAAGAGCTCGGGGCAAGCCCCTCGCTCTAAATTTCGTAGTATATACCTTTCCATACACTAACCGACACTTGATAATCCCTGACATCATAATAGGGAATTTGTAAAATAGTTATCAAATTCTAAGTGATTATGTAATAATATGATAAACCTTGATATCGATATAGACGCATGACTCATACAGGCTATTGTATGTTAACAAAAGTTTATAATAAAGAGTTCTGTCTATTTTGTTTAATTTCAACTGGATATCAGACTGATGATAAGTGTGTTTTGGCAATGAATCAATAAAATGACATTACTGCGTTGGAAGCTGTTGTTGGAATTTACCGCCGCTCTGTTGCGATGGTGAGTACGAACATAAATGAAACAAAAAGAATATTTAAATTTCATTTTGAATTACGAGAATGAACCCCGGGGACATTAAAAAGATGAAATAAATGCATGTACAAGTAAGGCATTAATTGGCATCAGATCTAACTGTCAAAGAAGTTGTATATGTAATGGTGTACATTATTCACGTAATCACATGTCTTGTTCTTTTTTTATAGATATCAGAAACTGCAAGAGCTTATAGGATATGGACCCGCCTTTTTCATTGTTTTGTTACATATTTTGAAGAAAGATTATAAAATTATTAAGATTTTAGATAGTTTTCCTTTATCAAACGTGTTCTTGTTCATACCATCACAATCTTATATAGTAGCAGTGGTTTTGCATGATATAATAATACGTGTGTTAGTATGAAAAGGATAATTAGGTCGATCAACCATTGAAGATAACTGTATAAATTGTATTGATTGATTGTTGGCAGCTATTTCATGCATTTTCAGGACGATAAGTACAAGAAGCCTAAAAATTGTACGTCGTTTTTAGTCTGTTTAAAGACAGCGGACACAAAGAGAAGCACGTAATATGAGATTTTATTTTATTTTGTATTCAGTTTAAATGTGCATGAATACGAATACGATACGAATATGAAAGTTTTATGTTTATTCGTTTCACATATAACAATACAAACATAAGCTCTTGAGAGCTTTTTGCCGAATACAAATAACATATACACAACATTAAAACAGAAAGTATGCAGATAAGATAAATAAGCAGCAGATATTTCAATGCACAGGTATATTGAAATACATGCAAAGCACTACTAAACTACACATCTAAACATACCAAAACTGAAGCATAACTAAAATTAAAGCAAAACTAAAATTAAAGCACAACTAAAAGTTAAGCAAAAATAATTAATAAAAAATAAAGCACACATGCAAAATTTAAGGCATAATGCAAATATTTAGAGCTTTGACTAAACAATAATACATGAAAAACTTATTTACATGCAGAACAACGGCATTCCGATCCATTCCAGGACTGTATACGGCTCTTGAATAGTGAAAATGGACATGTAGGCTGTTCCTCAGAGTAGCAGCTAAAAATCTAAATTTTTTCTTACCAAATTGTGTTGATTTTACATGTGGAATATCCAGTGTATTACTATATCTGAAAGAATATTTACAATCTTTCATGTAAACAGACAGGTGCTAATTTATTAACTATGTTAAAAGTTTCAATTGCCATTGGTCTTTGTCTTTTAATATGCAGTGAAGGCATCTTAGCCTTTTCAAGCAACTGTTGGTATGAGCTTGAATGATCTTCATACACAAACCTTAGTGCTCTTTCTTGCTCTTTATCTATTTTTTTTTTTATTTTTATTTTTCTCAGTACAGAAATGCCATACCAAAGGGCAGAAATTGAAATTGCTCAAAATAAATATAGTAAGCTTACTTAGCTTGTTCAAATAAGTTTCAAAATATTTTAAAATATTAAGTTACTTAGATGCCTTCCTGCATATTTTACTGATACGAGTATCAAAATTAAACTGATAATCATTGTCAATGCCAAGAAGTTTGACAATTGACTCACACAAAAAGATCAGCACTTTGAATACATTTTCATGGATTTTTGTTATATGTCTTTTTCCCAACTGCTGGAACCTGAAATTTGTCAGGGTTTGTCTGCATTTTATTAATTTTGAACCATTCAATAAGTTTATGTGATTCATATTCTAAAATAGAAATTAAAATATCATAATCTGGCTTACAGTAACATACAAAAACATTGAAAAGTAGGGGGCCGGTTAGAACCCCCTTATGAATATCAGCGCAACTCCTAAGAATACTACTTATTCCAATTTGCTGTTTCCTGTTTGACAAATAAGATTGTAGTAGTGAAATCGAATGAGAAGAGACACCATATGCTAATAATTTATCAAGCCGAATTTCATGTGGTAGGCAATCAAAAGCCTTTGAAAGGTCCATTAGAACAGTGTGGTCTGACACCCATGGCCAGGTCTCAAAGCAAATAGATAAGGATGAAATATATTTTTTTAAAAATCACCAAGTTGTATTTCAAACACCTTTTCATAAATTTTAGAAAAAATAGGTAGAACACTGACAGGCCTATAGTTGGCTTTGTCAAGTTGGTTGGATTTTTTTTGTGCAGTGGTATAACTTGAGCCTGCTTAAGTCTATCAGGAAATACACCAGTTTCTACAGATAATTTTATTAATGTTTTTAACTGAGGCACGATTACAGGTTTACAATATTTCACTACTTTTGCTGGTATTCCATCTGCTCCAGTAGCTTTTTTAATGTTATATTTTTTATAATTTTTGTTACTTTTTCTGTTGTTGTTTTCTGAAAATCAAATTGTGTTTGTGCAATTATGATCTTTTATTTGCAATATACTAGCAAGAGATGGTAGGTCGAATATCACATCACCATTTTTACATTTTTTTTAGAAAAACGGCTTTATAGATTATTTGTTGTCCAAATATTACTGTTTTTGGCCCAACCTGAACAACTTTCTAAAAAATAGTTTTTCATGGACACTTATTTAAGTTTTGTAACAAGGTTTCGTTGTTTTCTATATTTTTCTAATGTTTTTGAATCTTTATGCATTGTAAATTGTGTGTACAGCATGTGTTTGCGATATACGGCTCGTCTAAGTTCACTATTCATGCATGGTAATGGTTGTTTCCTTGGTTGTCTTGTTTTAATTGGTGCATGTTTGTTCAGGATATTTATGAACATATCTTCAAATTCACTGTATGCATTGTTTAACTGTTCAGAAGTAGTGACATTTTCTGTTAGTGGCGTTTTTATTTGGTCTAGATCTGTGTTAAATTTATCTACATCAAAATTTCTATAACTTCTATATGAATTTTTTTGCTGTTTTGGGGCATGAACTTCATCCTTGATTGTAACTGATATAAGATTATGACAATCACTAGTACCTGAAGATAAATTATGGGTATTAAAACACATATTTTCCTTGTTTGTGAGTATTACATCGACAAGAGAGGGTTTAGAACCTTTCAAAAAACAAGTTGGTTTTAATATTAATTCTGATGTTGAAAATATCACATATGTCATACATAGCTTGACATGTTTTACCTCTAAACTAATGTTCTCTAAATTATCAGACTCTTTGTCAGCTCTACGACTAGATGGAAAGTCAGAATTGATAAATAACATGATACCACCACCTTGTTTGTTTCTATCTCGCCGACGAAGTTTGTAGCCATCCACTTTGAACAAGTTATCATTAAGGTTCGTGTGGACCCTTTGGCTAAAATGGCTACGTTTTCATCTCAAAATGAACAGACCAACCTGTGTATCTGGAAAAGTTTTAAGACAAAAAGTAGAATAAAAAAAATACCGAACTCCAAGGAAAATTCAAAACGGAAAGTCCCTTATCAAATGGCAAAATCAAAAGCTCAAACACATCAAACGAATGGAAAACAACTGTCATATTCCTGACTTGGTACAGGCATTTCCTGATGTAGAAAATGGTGGATGCCCTAGAAAAATAATATTCATATGCATTTTATGTTTTAGAAAATTAAAAACTTAACTAGTTTGAAGGCGCCAACCCTCTCCCTAACCTGGGACAGTGGTGTAACAGTACAACATAAGAACAAACTATAAAAATCAGTTGAAAAAGGCTTAACTCATCAGATAAATAGAAATACATCTAACAAAAACACAGAGTAGACGTGGACGGGTACTTATACATCCCCACAACAAAAAGACACTAAGTACAGATCTGAGAGTACTCGCAGTTAATATTATTATTATTGTAAATAGTCTTTCGATATGTGATAGGTAGTAATTTTTTAATTGCTATAAAAAAAAGTCCAAACTATGTTTTCATACAATTTTCATTTTAGAAAGTCTCCCATATTCATAAAAATCAGACATCAGTTTAAGTTAAAACATGTTATATTCAGTAAAATATATGTGAAATTACAATATGTTGTTTATAAGTTTCCATAACAGATCATGTCAAATCATTGACCGTTTGAAATATTGATCATTTCTCCCTTTAATTCTTCATGAGAACATTTTTAAGCTTAAAGTATATCTCACCTCTAAATCGCACAAATGCTAATTTCATCATTTTTAGCTCACCTGGCCGAAAGGCCAAGAGTGCTTGTCCCATCACTTGGCGTCCGTCGTCGTCATCGTTAACTTTTACAAAAATCTTCTCCTCTGAAACTCCTAGGCCAAATTTAACCAAACTTGGCCACAATCACTATTGGGGTATCTAGTTTAAAAAATATTTCCGATGACCCCGCCAGTCAACCAAGATGGCCGACATGACTAAAAATAAAACATAAGAGTAAAGTGCAAGTTTTGCTTATTATTTTGAAAACCGCTATGAATACAGAAAATCTGACAGGAGCAAAAATGTTCAGAATGTTGACCTATTGTTTATTCACGTCAAAACTGTCAAACGACTTCTTATATGAGTTATAGCCCTTAAAAGATCAATTTTACCATTAAACTTTTTGCCTATTATCTCGAAAATTAAAATAGATAGACAGGAATTTTAAATGGCAAAAATGATCAGCAAGACAAGATCTACAAATAAGTCTCACATGGCTGAAATCTTCAGTCGACACCTTATTAGAGTTATTGCCCTATAATGACGATTTTTACCATTTTTTTGCGTTTCAGCCTTATATCTTAAAAACTATATTAGATAGATAGAAACTGTAAATAGCCAAAATGATTAGCAAGACAAGATCTACCAATGAGCATAATGGCCGAAATCTTAAGTCGACTCGTTATTGAAGTTATTGCCATTTAATGATATTTTCCTCATTTCTGCCTAATATCTTGAAAACAGTAATAGATAGATAGAAACTTTAAATAGCACAAATGATCAGCAAGAAAAGTTCCACAAATAAGCCAAAATGGCAGAAATCTGCAGTCGACTCGTTATTGGAGTTATTGCCCTTTGATGATAATTTTTAACATTTTTTTTGCATTATTTGCCTATTATCTTGAAAACTATAATAGATAAATAGAAACTTTGAAAAGGAAAATTATCAGCAAGATAAGATCTACAAATATGTCAACATGACTGAAATTGTCAGTTATCTCTTAATAGAGTTATTCCCCTTTACATTGACATTTACCAGATGCAGTAACACTTTCAGAAGTTTTTTACAGCTATGGATTTGGAATTAAATCTTACTTTTTGCTAATAAAAGATAACAATGCTATGTAACGAATACTTACATCGAAATGTTTGTAATCTTTTATAAGCAAAAAGTTCAGGTTTTGGCAATAAAACCAGAAAAAAGACAAGATATTACAGCGTTTCGTATATCCATACAAAAGCAGTGATAAGGTATCAATTTGATGGCAGATAAATAGACACACTTTAGATTTCATTCCAAATCCTTAACTATAAAACATCTCCTGAAAGTGTTACTGCATCAGGAAAATTTGAGATAATGACACTATTCCTTTTTTTATCAAAACAAATTGCTCTTTTAGAACCAGAGAAGAGATAAAATAATCATTTATTACTTCAATGTAAATCAGATGTAGTCGTCTCATATCTTCGTGGCTGATGCCACTCAGATATGAGAAGACTACATCTGATACATATATATTACATGACGGCACTAATTTATAATCTTATGTTTATCCATTTTAATAGTCACGCTCTTCTCAAGCCAGACTGAGATTACGATTACACATGTGTGATAGTAATCACTGAGCCAAATCATGTCCATACATGTCATTACATAAATATATTTTGACCTATTAAATGTGTTAAAAATAATATTTAATGTTTCAAGTGCATTTAAAGTTTTTAAAGTGTGTTAAGTATTGAAATATTTGCAAATAGTCGTTAATCAAACAATAGTCCTCCAACCAATTTCTTCCATAGTGCAGTCATATGCCTGCACCTTATTGAAGTATATCTGATGTTCTGTTTTATTCTGATTGTGTTATTTTACATTTAAAGCAATCTAAGACAGACCCTTTCGGGATGGGTGTGGATATTCAACTTCACAAACATAAATCATGATTGTTGTCCATATAAAGCTTTACATGATTATTTGGTTGTAAGGAAAACCATGTTAAAATTTCAAAATGATAGTGCTTTATTTATTGACGAATCGGGTAAAGCTCGAGAAAGAGAATTTTTCATTAGCAAGTTAAAGCATCTTTTGGGTATATGTGGATATAATCCTCATTCCATTAATGGACATTCATTTCGAATTGGAGCTGCTACAACAGCTGGAAAATCCAATATTGAGGATCACTTAATTAAAACATTAGGTAGATGGAATTCTTATAGTTACTGTCGCTATATTAGAAATATTAAAAATGTCATTAAAAAGGCACAACAAAAGTTATCATCATGATACTTGTATTTATCCATAATGTCACATTGTGTGTAAGATAATGTTTGCTATCATTCTTATTTTATACTATATAGTGTACATTTGCACATGTACATACCTGTTTGTGTATTATAAATATCATGTATTTGCTTGCCTTTTTTCAAAAACTGATTCATATGATTAAATATATATTTTATTATTTCTATCTCATTATCAGTGAATTATTGAAGGTGTCCAAGGTGTTACATAATAAGTTTCATCCCCTTACACTAACTTTCCTTATTCAATTCCTTGGGGGTCACTCAGCTGTTTCACATCTGAGCTTTGGACCATTACGAAATTCACCACTGGTTGATTTCTCTTCTTATCCCCCAAGTAATTAACTACTTTTCATCTCTCCATCGTCAATTCAACCCCTTTCCGTAGCACCCTGCTACGAGATGAAGCATCGCTTCATCCCCTTTTTGAATCCTCTGCGTTCCAGCTGATTGACGGAGTGTCCATGCCCACGGGGCTTGGCTACCCACTATACCAAGTGTCGTCGACAGGGCCTGGAGCAAAATTTTCCCAACTGAGATTCTGACTCCCAAAGGGCAAACTTATATTATATAATAAAAGTTAAATTTTATCCAGCCTTTGTTATCAACAGCCTTATCAAATTGTTGAAGTTATTAAATTTAATGCAGGTCTAGTCAATTTGTCTGGTTCTGGTTTTTATGGGGTCAATAATTGTGGTTCTTCATCTTATAGAAAGAATTGAGAGACTTGTAGTGTTTGGATGTTCAATAGCTTGAATTAAGCCTATGTTTGTATATACATGTATATGTTGAGCTATCATTTGGCACCAGTCGTTCCATGGTTAAAGAGAATACACTTTGATAAGACACTATCACATAAAAGGATCTCCAAAATTTAATTAGAGGTCTTGAGGTCATCACAAAGCACCAGTCGTACCCAGGATCATATGGAATGTGTTAGGGGCGTCAATTGGCATTTGTCGTCTCCAATGTGCTTACGTGTCTATGTAGGCCTCAAGTCATCACTTTGCATCTGTCGCTCAGTGTTTGTTAAGCTGTCAAGTTTTCCTCCAGGACGAAAGTATCAAAGTGCATTTAATGTTTTTAACGCGTGTTAAGTATTAAAATATTTGCAAATAGTCGTTAATCAAACAATAGTCCCCTAACCAATTTCTTCCATAGTGCAGCCATATGCCTGCACCTTATTTGAATTGGAGTCAAATCATGTCCAGACCTCTTGTGTGTCGGTAATAATTACAACAGATGGATGATGACGAAGAGGCGAGGCTCATAAAAACCAGTCAACCCTTAGTGTTGATATTGTACCGATTGAAACATTAGTAAATCCATTATTAAAACGATTTCATTTTTTTTCAGACACATACAATTCCTGCAATGTTTACACACTTTGTGTTCTATTAGACCTAACAAGTAGGTTCCAATGCTGTTTGCTATATCTGACGCTACAGTTAAAAGTTAAAACAGTTGAACATGGGTAAACGTATTGAAAAAAGGAGTTGATTTCGAAAGATAGTTTCTTTAATATCAAGACTGTCCATTGAAACGACGGACAAAGGAATGTATGAAGTGTTTATTATATATGATGAGACAGATTTGTATACAGAAGAAACACTTTTTCCTGTTTTCGAATACCAAAAGCTGGAATATTGTTCATTATATCACTTTCCAGGAAAGACAATATCTGGCAGCCTTGAAACATTAGAGTCATTTCCCGATAAAATACTTATCATATTATCTGACCAGTTGTGTCAAAACGAAAGGGAAAAATTTGCAATTGAATGTGTTCTTCAGTTTGCCATTCATATATACGGGAATGCCACGAAGGTTTTTGATCACATTATAACCTTTATAACTACTGGCTCAATAACTAAAATGAATGGTTTATCCAAACTGTTGAAAACTACTATCATTTATAACCATTCATTAGTTTCCATTATGGATCTTATATCACAAATCAGATCAAAGCTTAATCCATATTGTAACGTTCTCAGCAAAAATGGTATTGTTGGGACTTTAGGTTTGCATGGATTGACCATTAAACATTTAGAATCACAAATATTTGGTCTATTGATTTCAACACAAAATCTCTGTGTACAAATCGACTTGGATGAATTTTTCAGATATCGACAAAAACATCAAGATCACAAAATAGTAGACGTTTTGGGACAAAAAGACGTTTTGAGAAGTCCTAACACTAAAGTTTTGATTATACTAGATAATAACTCCGATAGATTCAAGGAAGCCGTGTCTGATATTTCTAATATTTGTTCATCTTTAATTTGTTATAACAGTGACTTTGAACCTTTGGAATTAGTGTGTTCTGTTGCTGGAAAGTATGATTCTGCTGAAGAAAACTTTCTGATGGACATTTACCCAAAAGCGTGGTACGGATTTACACGAAAAGCTGTTACTGATATTGCACAGCCGCGTTTTGAAAGATATAGTAGTGTTGAAGAAAGAACGAATTCGTTTCCTACAGTGTGGATTAAAAATGATTTAGATCAGGTTCAAAAGATTGCCCAGGCTGGTTTTTTCTACCCAGGAGTTGGATTAAATGGACAGTGTTACTCCTGTGGCTTTAATCTCACCAATATAAAATATCATACAAATCCGCTCACAAAACACGCTTCCCAATACCCCGAATGTAAATTCATCAAAGAAACTTTATCAGAGGAAGAAATACAGAATGCAATTTTACAATTCAATGATGCTAATAAAAAATTTAATTTTGCATCTCAACTTGAAAAAATGTATAGCACTTTAGAATCTAGAATGGAAACATTTAAAGCATTATGTACATGTAATATAAGTGCGTTGGGTGTAAAACGATGGGCAGAAGCTGGATTTTTTTGTGTCGCGTTGAATTATATTCAGTGTTTCAGATGCTGTGTGAGACTCTTTCACATTCCACAAAATGAAAACACTTGGGCAATACATGCAATTCTATCTCCAAAATGTCCCCATGTATGTGAAAAGAAGGGAAAAGAATTCATATCAGATTTGCGCCTTTCAAAGGAACTTTCACTTTTTCCGAAGCAAACAATTATAACAATTAAGGGAATGTATGACAATACCCAAACTGACACTGCAGAATATCTTTTCAGACCATGGTAGTCACAAAGCAGGTCATCAGATAACAGAGATATGTTGGGCTACCATGGTAAATGTTGTCTTTTTGTATAGATTACCTGGTCTTTAAATATATTTTATTTTATGTATACTTTTACTGTTTATAACACTTTACCTCAGAGCTTATATAACATATAACTAAGATCTATAATGAGTATGTGTTTGTAACTTTAAATACACTACAACCAAAACAGAGGACCTTATATATCAAATTTCTTCACAAATTAGAGAAGAAAAGATTATGCATATTGGATGAGGATGTGGATGTTTACAACTATATTTCACTGTACAGCCTTCCACAAAGAGACAAACCCATATCTTATTTTAAGCTTTTAAAGGCCCTGGCATGACAACTTTGCATCACATCAGCTTAGTGGTTTCAGACAATTTTAAATGTTTTGAAAATGACCAGAGTATATCGTGTTGGAATCATTATAAACATGAGATTAATTTTGATTACTAGCCTAAGGAAATTATAATCCTGCCCCATTTTATTTGGTATTGAGTTTTGTTTTTTTCTGGGTTTTTTATCTTAGTACATGTAGTAAATAATTTCCAATAATTATGTAAAAATAAAGAAATAAAATTCATCTACCAGCCCCAATAGAAAGATTCAAATGACGTAATCTGAGCTTTAGTTACTTCCCTGAGCCACCATTTTGGAGGGATATATTGTTGATGTTCTTATTTGACTGCACACAAAGGAAGTAACTATTGCTAAATGTTTGTTAATCAAACCCTATCTATTTTTCAAAAGAGTTGGATGAGAATCAAGGATTTTTCATTGTTTATTATGGTCTAATGCATTTTTCAATATGCAATCATTAAAATATTGTAATGAATAAAAGATAATTAAACATAAAACATAATATAACTGTAATTCAAAATTTACATATAATAACAAGTCATACATATACATAAAATATTTTGTTAACAGAGTGGCATCACAGTAAAATGAAATAAATAAATAAAATGTCTCGAAAATCACCAATCTTATTATTTCTGCACCAATTTTCAGTTCTGTGAACTCTTCACAATGATTGGAACTGAAAAAAATTAAGGAAAAGATAAATTTTAATCAATGACAAAAAATAAATAGAAAATATGAAAAATGGTGGTCTACCTCTGCCTGCATGAAAGTAAATAGTAAGTAGATGCATATGTACACAAGAAAATCTCTAACTTCTAAAGTGAAACTCTGCTAAACTGAGCCTTCCAATTGAAGCAAATTTTTTTCAGGTCTATAGCTTTTATATATGAATAAAGAATGTCTTATTCTCATTAAAAAAAATCACTTGAAAAATACATAATCTTTTGAATTAAGATTCTTCTAAAATATGTAGTATTTTAACTTAAAATAAACTATATTTCCCAATAAGAATTGAGTTAAGTCCTAATCAACTGATTGGTTAGTGGAAACAAAGTATAAGCAATAATGAGCTGCGCCATGAGCGCATGATACACCCGTCGCTTTTTCAAAGAATAAAGTTCCAGAACTCCTCAATGTCATATTAGAAATTTATAAAAAAAACCAAAGGGAGGTTACTTAAATAGATATAAACCAGTCACCAAAGTTTCATGAAAACTGCTCAAAGAACTTTTGAGTATTTGTCAGAAAAATAAATGTGGATAGTGTCCACATGTGGACACAGATGATGCCCCCGCTTGCATATCATATAGTTATAAAGGGACATAACTGAAGAACGGTAAAAGTGACACTTCCCAAAAATTTTGTGGTAAAAAACATTGTGTGTAAGTCTCATAACATTTGGTTGAGGCTAACTTAAGTAGAGAACAGAAACTAAAAATTCAGCAATTTTTCTATTTGTAAACACATATAACTCTAGAACGTTGTGTATAAGTTTTATAACATTTGGTTGAGACAAACTAAAGTTAGAGAATGGAAACGAAAAATTCAGCAATTTTTATGTTTATAAAGGGACATAACTCAAGAATGGTAAAAGTGTCGCCACCAAATTTCATACTTAATCTGTATAATGTAGTAATAAGCATTGTGTATAAGTTTCATAAAATTTGGTTGAGGCAAACTAAAGTTAGAAAACAGAAACAAAAAATTTGTACTTGATCTTAGTTTTGTGGTAATGAATATTGTGTATAGGTTTCATAATGTTTGGTTGGGGCAAACTTAAGTTACAGAATGGAAACTAAAGATTTTGCAATCTTTCGATTACAAAGGGGCATAACTCAATAATGGTTAAAGTGACACTACCCAAATTCAACTTGATCTGTGTTTTATCAGTGGAAGTCAAAATTAAACATTGCATTGTATAAAGCATTGATTGTAGTTGATTCAACTTCAATCATGGACAAAGGAAGATAACTCCAATTTTAAAAATTACTTGATATTTAAAAGAAAATAAAAATTTTGCAACTTTTCCATATATAAAGGGGCATAACTCTAGAACGGTTAAAGTGACGCCACCAAAATTCAAACTTGATCTGTGTTTTGTAGTAATAAGCATTGTGTATAAGTTTCATAACATTTTGTTGAGGCAAACTTAAGTTAGAGAACAAAAACTAAAAATTTTGCAATTTTTCCATTTATAAAGGGGCATAACTCTAGAACCCTTAAAGTAATGCCACTAAAATTCAAACTTGATCTGTGTTTTGTGGTAATAAGCATTGTTTATAAGTTTCATAACATTTGATTGAGGCAAACTTAATTTAGAGAACGGAAACTAAAAATTTTGCAATTTTTCCATTTATAAAGGGGCATAACTCTAGAACTGTTAAAGTGATGCCACCAAAATTCAAACTTGATCTGTGTTTTGTGGTAATAAGCATTGTGTATAAGTTTCATAACATTTGGTTGAGGCAAACTTAATTTAGAGAACGGAAACTAAAAATTTTGCAATTTTTCCATTTATAAAGGGGCATAACTCTAGAACTGTTAAAGTGATGCCACCAAAATTCAAACTTGATCTGTGTTTTGTGGTAATAAACATTGTGTATAAGTTTCATAACATTTGGTTGAGGCAAACTCTAGAGAACAGAAACCAATTATGGGACGTACAGACGGAAGTATGTACGTACATACAGACGGACAAGGGTAAAACTGAATGCCCCCAACGCTACGGCGGGGGCATAAAAAACTAAAGGGAGGTTATTTTAATTGATATAAACCAGTCACCAAAGTTTCATGAAAACTGCTCAAGGCATTTTTGAGTAATTGTCTAATAAAATGCTTCGCTGGGCGCAGCTTGATACGACCGCAGAGGTCGAACCCTGAACAGTTGGGGCAAGTATGGACACAACATTCAAGCTTGATACAGCTCTGAATTTGGATTGTGATTAAATATTTGACACAGCATAGGTTTCTGACACAGAAAGAATGTGGTCTAAGAACTTCAATTTTTTTAATTTACCTATTATGGTCCAATGTCCAAAATCAAAATACATGGTTAGATTCAGCATATCAAAGAACCCCATATATTCAATTTTTGTTGAAATCAAACAAAGTTTAATTTTGGACCCCAACTTGGACCAACTTGAAAACTGGTCCCATAATCAAAAATCTAAACACATGTTTAGATTCAGCATATCAAAGTACCCCAAGAATTCAATTTTTGTTAAAATCAAACTAAGTTTAATTTTGGACCCTTTGGACCTTAATGTAGACCAATTTAAAAAACGGGACCCAAAATTAAAAATCTAAAACACGTTTAGATTTGGCATATCAAAGAACCCCAATAATTCAATTTTTGATGAAATCAAACAAAGTTTAATTTTGGACCCTTTTGACCTCAATATGAACCAATTTGATAGCGGGCCTACAAAACAAAAAATCTAAATACATGGTAAGATTCAGCATATCAAAGAACCCCATATATTCAATTTTTGTTGAAATCAAACAAAGTTTAATTTTGGACCCCAATTTGGACCAACTTGAAAACTGGGCCAAAAATCAAAAATCTAAATACATGTTTAGATTCAGCATATCAAAGAACCCCATATATTCAATTTTTGTTGAAATCAAACAAAGTTTAATTATGGACCCCAACTTGGACAAACTTGAAAACTGGTCCCATAATCAAAAATCTAAACACATGTTTAGATTCAGCATATCAAAGAACCCAAAAAATTCAATTTTTGTTAAAATCAAACTAAGTTTAATTTTGGACCCTTTGGACCTTAATGTAGACCAATTTAAAAAACGGGACCCAAAATTAAAAATCTAAATACACGGTTAGATTTGGCATATCAAAGAACCCCAATAATTAAATTTTTGATGAAATCAAACAAAGTTTAATTTTGGACCCTTTTGACCTCAAAATGAACCAATTTGATAGCGGGCCCACAAATAAAAAATCTAAATACATGGTAAGATTCAGCATATCAAAGAACCCCATATATTCAATTTTTGTTGAAATCAAACAAAGTTTAATTTTGGACCCCAATTTGGACCAACTTGAAAACTGGGCCAAAAATCTAAAATCTAAATACATGTTTAGATTCAGCATATCAAAGAACCCCATATATTCAATTTTTGTTGAAATCAAACAAAGTTTAATTTTGGACCCCAACTTGGACCAACTTGAAAACTGGGCCCATAATCAAAATTCTAAACACATGTTTAGATTCAGCATATCAAAGAACCCCAAGAATTCAACTTTTGTTAAAATCAAACTAAGTTTAATTTTGGACCCTTGGACCTTAATGTAGACCAATTTAAAAACGGGACCCATAATTAAAAATCTAAATACACGGTTAGATTTGGCATATCAAAGAACCCCAATAATTCAATTTTTGATGAAATCAAACAAAGTTTAATTTTGGACCCTTTTGACCTCAATATGAACCAATTTGATAGCGGGTCCACAAATAAAAAATCTAAATACATGGTTAGATTCAGCATATCAAAGAACCCCAAGAATTCAATTTTTGATGAAATCAAACAAAGTTTAATTTTGGACCCTTTTGACCTCAATGTGGACAAAGTTGATAACGGGGCCCAAAAATCAAAAATCTAAATACATGGTTAGATTCAGCATATCAAAGAACCCCATATATTCAATTTTTGTTGAAATCAAACTAAGTTTAATTTTGGACCCTTTTGACCTTAATGTAGAC